AAAAAACTAGATCGGGGGCGGTGGGGTGGCCAGCGTGCTTGCGAATCATCGCAGCCACGGCCCTGTTGGTCAAAGACGCTGATAAGCTCACCCTAGGGCAGCGGATCACCACCCCGCACACCATAGAGGGGGTTCTGAAGCAGCCACCGGGACGGTGGATCACAAATGCGAGGCTGACTCATTACCAAGGGCTTTTGCTAGACGCACCCCGCATCGAGTTCCAGACCCCTGCCACCTCGAATCCAGCTACGCTTCTGCCAACCTCCGCTGCAGCTGCACCTGAACGTGATTGCCTTGAGATCCTAGCCGAGACCCAGACGACCCGTAGAGACTTGAAGGATCGCCCCCTTCCAGGTAGCGACCTGACCTGGTTCACGGACGGAAGCAGTTTCATCCGGGACGGACGCAGGTACGCAGGGGCGGCCATAGTAGATGACCAAGGTAAACTTGTCTGGGCGGCACGCCTTCCGCAAGGGACATCTGCTCAGAAGGCAGAACTAATAGCGCTGCAAGGGACATCTGCTCAGAAGGCAGAACTAATAGCGCTGACAAAGGCTCTTAGCCAGGCCCGAGGAAAAAGGCTGACGGTGTACACTGACAGCCACTATGCCTTTGGGACTGTGCACATACATGGGGCCCTCTACAGGGAAAAGGGCTTCATCGCGGCAGAGGGAAAGGAAATTAAGCACATGCCTGAAATACTCCACCTACTAGAGGCTGTTTTGCTGCCAAAGGCAGTGGCGGTAGTCCATACTCCCAGACACCAGAGCGGGGATTCCGTGGAAGCACGGGGCAATCGGAGAGCAGACGCTGAAGCTAAGAAGGCTGCAGAAGACACTCCGCAGCCAGACATCCTGCACCTTAGCCTGCCACCCCCAGGCATGGGACGGTTGCCTCCTCTGCCGGACTGTAGATGAGGTCTGGGCCTCAGAGCAGCTACGTGAAGATGGCTGGTTGCGGGACGAAGGGCATTGCCTAATAGTGCCAGAACTCTTAGGACGCCACCTGTTAGAACATCTGCATCAGACCACACATCTAGGGAAGAGAAAGATGCTGCAAATGCTGGACACTGCTCAACTAAGGTTCAAGTCACAAGGACGGGTTCCAGATGACATCGTCAAAAGTTGCCGAGCCTGTCAGGTCATGCAGCCGGGGAGGACCAGAGGGACCCATGCAGGTACGAGGGAAAGGGGGAGGCAGCCAGGACTATTTTGGGAAGTGGATTTCACAGAGGTCAAGCCTAGAAAATACGGGTACCAATATTTACTGGTCATAATAGATACGTTTTCCAGATGGGTAGA